GAGAGGTCAGACTGAGAGGTCAGAGTGAGAGGTCAGACTGGGAAGGTCAGAGTGAGAGGTCAGACTGAGAGGTCAGAGTGAGAGGTCAGAGTGAGAGGTCAGACTGAGAGGTCAGACTGAGAGGTCAGACTGAGGTCAGAGTGAGAGGTCAGAGTGAGAGGTCAGACTGAGAGGTCAGACTGAGAGGTCAGACTGAGAGGTCAGAGTGAGAGGTCAGACTGAGAGGTCAGACTGAGGTCAGAGTGAGAGGTCAGAGTGAGAGGTCAGACTGAGAGGTCAGACTGAGGTCAGAGTGAGAGGTCAGAGTGAGAGGTGAGCCTGAGAGGTCAGATGATTTCTTTAAGATGTTTATTTTGCTGCTGTGAGGTGATGTGATGCATTCTTGTGCAGAACTGTTCAGATGTAAAGTATTAAACTGAAGTTTTTTGATGTTTAGATCAAGAGTTTGTTGAATGGTTCTGCAGCTCAGTCTCTTGGTAATGCAGACTCTGGACAACAGGGACCAATATAAAACTAACTCAAGTGTTAATTGCTATCGTGGTTTCCTCTTATGACATTTTTATAAATCTCATCCACCTTGAGCAAAATCTTAGCCCAAGAAAACCACAGATTGATGCAGCTTTCAGAGACAAAAAACCTAAATATTCAAACAAAAGGTCTTGATGCTCAATTCAGATCTTTTGATTAAATCCAATAGTTTTGTGGTTGTTCATGCTGCTAATTAAGCCTCTGTCTGAACAAAACATAGACGCTCTGTTTACAGATCAGTTTGTTTCATTTTTTTAAGTTTGTTTCTGAATAGTGATGTTGTGGGTTTTCCTGTCCAGTGAGCTCAGAGAGCTGATGCAGGGAATGTCGGGCCAGGTCCTGAAGACGAAGCTGCCGATCAGGCGGCAAATCGCTGGGGACGAAGCGGCGGCGATCCGAACCGCTACAGGCCAGAGGGACTCCCAGCGCAATACTGAGAAACGTAACAACTCCTGCTAAAACATTACAGTGCTGAAGCTGAGGTGAGCGCAGCTGCAATGTCATTTTTATATTACCTAAAAAAAATGCTGTTTGTGATACCCCAAAACTCATAATTTGGTAAAATTTTTGCCATTTTAAAAAAACTTAATAACCTATAGTTTTATTTCTATATTGAGATAAATATTTTCCAAAAAAGGTCTATTTCTTATAACTAATCGTGGTTCTCTTTAAAATAAGATCCTAATGTTTTAAGGGCAGTTTGATATTTTACTCTTGCTTTAAATAAACTATTACTTCACAATGGACCAAGATTTCTGAAAGACTCTCTACCGCCCCTACCTGTCACAGTTTTCACTCCTGCTGTCATGTTAGGTCTTTGTGTCGTTTTCTGCTATGAGAACTGATTTGTTTTCTGTTTTCACTTGGAGTTTTTTTTATCTTCTGTTGTGTTCATTCACCTGCTGCTGCAGCTGCTGCAGCTGCTGCTGCAGCCTCTGCTTTTGCTTTACTAATTCTTAAATAAATACATTCAAAACAGCAGCATCTTTCCTGTATATTTTTTCAAAAAATGAGGAATTTTAGCTAAACCTATAAACATAAATTTTTAAAGTATGAAATGTTATAAATATTTCATGGGCTGTATAACGATTCTTACAGCTTTTCTCTGAAGCAGGAAGTCGAGTTTGTCTTGGTTTTTAGCAGTTTCTATAGATCACTGCATGAAATTAATGTATGGGAATATCGCCCAACAGTATAACATTTCTTTTAGAAAATATTCTATTTAATATTTATATTGTTGACATAAAATTTTAGTTTTTAATCGGCCAATATGTGCCTGAACATGAGCTGAGGAGGAAATAAAGATCTAAAGAAATCCCACACAAAGAAAACTGAACACAAAGGAATGAGCTGAAAAACAAAAACCATGGGCGGTTCTAGACAGGGACCATCAGGGGCCACGGCCCCTAAAGAACAGGTCCGGGCCCCTGCTGTGTCCCCTGCACTTAAGAACAATTAAATCAATTTCTTATGGTTTGCGTTGGCACAGAACTTGGACTAAATTTGTGTTTTATCTCCAGTTTTACTTTAACAGTGAATTAAATCAAAGTATTACCGCATTATAATCAAATCACAGTTTTTATCTGCTAGTTCAGAATCTGCAACAATAGGTTTGCATATTAAACATTAAAATATTCACCTGTTTGTTTAATAAGTGTTGCATGTCGAAGGCTGGGCAGCATTATTAGCATCAATGCAGCCAAATAAGGTCAATTTCCCCAGCAGGTTTTTGCTTTTCCACACACACATGTAAAGGTACGTAGACAGAGAGATGGCTCCGGTCCTGCAGCTGTCAGCTTGCATTTCGGGTCAGCAGCTAATCTCCTGAACTTGCTGTAAGCCTCCAGTAGAGTTACCCACAATGCAACAGGGAGCGACAGCAGCAGGTGGCGGCGGCACAATCCCATCCTGCTGGCCAAATGTCACACTGACATAGAGACGGCACTACGATGGGTGGCGCTCGTTCAGATGGGCTCCCCGTGACAGAGCCGTCTCCATGTCAACCTGATCAACTTCAGTCTTTGTAAAGCAGCATCCATGTTGTTTTTATCGCCTGACAAGAACAACCCGGATCATCCTTGACCCAAACCTGTTACACAACGCTGATGCGTTGCATCCAGGCTGGCGCCCTCTAATCCCTGGCACCTCTGCTGAATCCCAGCCAGCAGCCAGCAGCCAGCAGCCAGCAGCCAGCTGTGGACACCGGACGCCGATCCACCGGAGAGCAGCCTGGGACCCTCAGCAACAGTCACAGTGCTGAACAACAAGCCAATAACAATACGACCCCCAGGAGGTACATGAGTCTGGACATCAACAGAAGAAAACCTCTGATAGAATCTTCAATAATTTCACAATCTGGAAGGCAGAGGAAAAGCTTTAACCTGTCAGACATTTTCTCACACAAACCAAAGCTTGCTTTCTTCATAAACAAGAACTCAGGTTATTTTCTGCAAGTCTGATGTAAAAACAGAAATAAAAGTATATTAAATCCTATTTACCTCAAAATGCTCTGGAGTAACAAGTGAGCTGTTAATAATAGTAATCATAAGCTGAGTAGAACAGAAGAAATTAATAAAAATGTGATCAATTCAACACTTTAACAGTCATTTTTACTCAGTTTATTACTCAGATTTTTCATGTTTTGATTTATGTCTCATTAGACAATCATTAAGTCTTTAACTGCACAAACTCTAAAGTCGCTGAATTTTAACATAGAAGCTGAAACCAACAGTGTTACATTTTTTCATAAAAACTCTGCAGGAAGTTTAAAAACATTAAATCAATGAAATCAAATCCAAATCAATCAAATTTGCAGCCAGCATCATTGAGCTAATTAAACATTTATTTAGCCTGAATCACATGCAGGACCACACTTCCTCTAGGTTAAGTAAATAAACTGGTTACGTTTTGATCATATTAACTCTTATTTATTGATCTATTAGATTTCAGAAAGATCTAATAAAAGCACAAACTGATGCCAGATCTGAAGCTTCTATAAAACTAAACCTGCTGCAGATTGTGAAACTGCTCTGACCTTCAGTACAAACAGTTTGTGAGAAAATAATATTGGATTTTTAAAATGGTACAGAACGAAGCTGAAGGCTCTGGGGATTGAAACTCTTTGAAACCAGCTTTTCAACATTTATCCATTCAGCCTCTACCTGCTTGTCCTCACAGGGTCACAGGGGGAACTGGAAGCCATTGGAAGAGGTCAGAGGTCACTGACCCCTCACAGGGGAACAGAGACACACAACCAAACTCCACACAGAAAGGCAAAGGCCAGGATTTGAACTCAAAGGTTTTTTTCTGCAAAGGCAATAGAGCACCGCTGCAAAACACAGAATCTTACCAACTATATTCAGTTAGTTTCTAAGTAGACTTCAAATAAAATAAAACTAAGAAATAAGTTTTTAACTTTTTAGAGTTTGTTTTAATCAAAAATGAATTCATATCAATGTGAAACAGAACTAGTTCCTATGGGAGACATTTCTCCCATGTGAAAAAGTCTGGCAGTTGAATCCATGCACTCTAATATTTACACTAGAAACAAAACAAAAATGCTTCATTTTGTGTTTTTGCAGGTCACCATGCAGCCCTAACTTTTATCTTTAGAAATATATTCTGTTCTGTAATTTAAAATCACAATGAAACTTTTCTGTCCTGCTCAATATTTGGATGTAAATGTGTGAACTTTTCAAGTTATGAACACAATGTAATGAAAGAGCAGTAAACTCAGCAGCAGAACAGGGACAGAATGAAACTCTGAAGAGGATCGACTGAAAAGTTGCTAAAAACCAGCAGGATTCTCTAATGAATCCCGCTGAAGAAACTTGAAAACGTTGATTCCTCCTGATTCTATCCAAAAACATCTTTATCTTCTGCCTTTCATAGCTTTTATTGGCCAATCTGGACAGTTCAATGCGGGGCTGCTGTGATGATACACATTAGCTTGGTGGCTACTGATTAGTGCGGAGTATTTGCCTCAGCTGCTGAAACAAAGCAGGTCAGGCTGGCCTTCCTTCAAACTGCAACAGCTTTGCATGATGGAGTTTTTACCTCCTCCAGGTTATTATATTCACACATGGAAACAACAAAACGAGTTTGCTTTCTGCACTCTGTGTCCTGATCCAGCTGAAGGAAACTAACTCAATTCTCCCTGCAGTCGAGTTTCTGTCCGTCCAGCAGTTACACGTCTTCCATCTACCGGATCACGTAATTCCAATTTGGAGTCACATTCATCCAGTTAGACCTTCCTTCATGTGATGTCAACATGATCAGCTTTATGTTTCAATCAAGGTGTTTGGATCTGTTTCACTGAAGAACCAGGCATTGACCTTCAGTATGCATTTATATTTAATACGAGTATTTTAGTGACACATTTGGGTTTTTTCTGAGCCGATCAAAATGTACAAAAGTCTGACTGTATTTTTGACTCTTCCTGCTCTTTGTCCGGAGGTTGAATCCTGTCTTACCTGCTGGTCAAGCTGCGCCACACATGAGCTCCTGTGGGAGGAAAAATCAGAATTTACATTCAGCTCTGAACCCAAATGGCACTTTACAATCTAACTACCTAAAATACATCAATGTTGTTTTTCATCAGTGACACCTAAAGGAAAAATGACCAAAAACAATAAAAGTAACATGATGAGAAAATCAACCTAAAACACATTTAACCAGGTAATCTGTTAAGAAGCTACAGACTTTTAGCTCTTATATCTGAACTAAATGCAGAAGTCATTTTTTCCTTCTGCTAAGACGAGAGCATTAGACTCCACAGGTTTCAGTGCCTCACTGTTACTCATCAGGATAAAAATGAGGAAACTTTGGATGAAATCATCAAACAGTGGAGGATCCTGTGTTTGGACCTGACTGGAGATGAAACATCTAACCAGAGAAAATGAGTTCAGAATGATTCATTTAAACTTTTCACCTTTAAAAACAAACTGAGACATAATCCCGTCCAAAACCGGCCCAATTACTGGACCAAGTAATATAAATGTCTGAAACTGAATTATTTCCTAGAATAAATTGACACAGAATATGAATAATGTCAGCATGGAAACTTGTTTTGAGACATTAAAATTAATAAATATTTTTAGAATATTAAGTACATAGTTGACATACACTAATAATTAAATTAATTTTTTTAAATAAGAAAATGAACATTTTATTTTCTAAAATACAGCTGCAGCAAAAGATGCTCAACAGGAGATTTATCTTCCTGAATTTGAACCAGGCAGAGCTGAAGATTTAGAACAGATTTACAGACCAGGAAACTCTGAAAAAGTCTTAAATTAAAAACATTTGTGTTCAGTTTTGGCTTAATTTATGTATGATTTTTCTGAAACACCCTTTTTAATCTTTTTAATCTTTTTTCTGAAACAACCTTTTTGAGTCTTTTAATGTCTCAAAAGATAGAACAATAATGAAGTGTAAGTGTGCAGGCAATCGACGGAAGAAATAAACCTTTGGTTCTGGTCCAAACAGCATCTCTGGCGGTTATCGTGACGACCAACAGAACCAACAGGATGGAAATAAGGCTGTAGATCCGAAAAGAGCTGAAGGCAACAAACCTGCAGAGACACAAAGCAAAGTTTCAGCTCAAACGAGACAATTAGGTTTAATAAAGAGTCACAATAAACTCATTTAAAGTGTTTTTATTGTTCAAAAAGGAGCAAAAAGAAGCGATAATGCTAATATTCTGTAGAATATTTATACCTGTACAATATTTTTTCAGTCAAATAACAGTTACTTTTGTAACACTATTTAATCTGGTATAGTACTTTATAGTTTCTATGTCTGATCAATTAACAGTAAACTAAATTATATTTTTTCTACTTGTGCAAAATTTATGTTCTTTTTAAGCAAATGTAAAGACATTTGGAAACAACCAATAACCACATTCAGTTTTCTCTAATAAATACAATTTTACAGATTGTGGAAAAGAAAATATGTCAGTTAGATTAGGACTGAAATTATTGATCTGATTAATCAATTATTTAAGTAATTATCAGCTAATTTAGAAATTAATTAATCATTAACTGGAGTGTACAGAATTTAAATATGTTTATTTTCTGAAAGAATAAAACAGTAAGTGATCGAAAGTTGTAAGAAAGAAAACCTACATTTTGCATTTAAGATGAAAATTCTTTGTTCTTAAATAACTTATACTCAGAAAGTAGCATAGTCTTAGTTTGACCTGCAGGTTCAAATTCTGGAAAAAAACAAAACTCCTGTCAGATACCTTTTGCATCCAATTACTAAAAAATGAATCACCAGACTTAAACCGTAATGACCAGCTGCAGATGCATCGTTTGTTAGAAATAATTAACTGTTCACTGAAGAAATGCTGTTAGTGAATTTTGAATTTTAGGAAATTAATTGTTTAATTTCTTATTTCAAAGAGATTGAATGATTAGATTTTATTTATAAATGTTATATATTTGTAATATTGTATAAAAGTAAGCTTAAGTAAATGAAATGGGAAATGTCAGCATATTTGATCAGATTGAAGTCTTGATTTTCAGAATAATCAATGAGTAAAGTAATAATAATATGAAATGTTTGATCCTTGCTCTCACTTAGAGCTGAACTAATTAAACTACATTTCTCAACTTTTTTAAAGTTTTATTAAGTATTTATTACAACCAGACATCATGATAGCGCAAAAAACTTTAAAATTAAATTAATTTATTAAAATATCAACGTTTGAACTCCTTTAAAATATTTACAGAATACTATACTTTATTTAAATTAGACTGGGGATTATTTACTCTGAATAAAAACTGTTCAAACCAAGTTTATAATAAATATAAAGATCAGGTTTATATTTTAAATTTGGTCTAAAGTCGTGCTGTTGTTTGTCTCGGATCTCCCTGCGTCACGATGCCTACCACATCACCGCGTTGGCTGCAGCAAACAGGGCTGACGTCCTGACCGGATGCTGCCTCCAGCTGACCAGCCCGCCGACACGCCGCCCTGCCCGCACGGGGGTCCTGTCCTGCCCGCGGGGCTCCGGGTGAGGAGGCCCCGGGGGGCCCACCGGCCCGGGGGCCGCTTCCTGTCCGCCAGCGGCGCCTGCTTCCCGGCTGCCCAACATTTCTTAACGGCTCTCTGCCGCTGC